TAAAATTGCATATTTTTCATTGGTTTTCACGGTTGCTCGTAAAAAGTAAGGTATTATAGCAACGAAATAAGTAGTGTAGTGGTAGCATTTTGGTAGCAACGGTATTTAAAATATTTTGAACGTAGGACATATGATTATTAAGTGATACAAATGCCGACATTCCGCCCTCGTCAGGAACCACCGTTCACCGATGAAAAGAGTGAATTTTTATCGTGTCACGGCCTATGGATTTCCAATTATCCAAAGCCACATAGGTCCACAGCACATCTTGTTAAGACGTTTATATGGCTGCGACCTTTCGATCAAGTTAACGCCACGCTCGTCTATTCTCTATATTATTAAATAAAAACGTTACGCCTTCCAACTTTCTCACCTAAGATAATATACCCATCCAACAACAGACTTCGTCGGTCTACGCTTGCCCGTGTCCGCCCCTCACGCCCAGCCCTTAGCAATATATCAAATCTTGAATATTAACAGGCACATGTGTTCCGAAAGGTAATATATTTTTTTCATTTCCGATTTACATGCTTTACTATTGCCGAGAAATATCTTCATAATAAGTGAAATCCCGTTTGCCTCGTTGGGGCATGGGGCGAACACATTTGTGCCCTTTTCGGTCGGAACTATTAATTGTTTCCCCTTAACACAATGCTACGCATTACATCTAACTATCGAGTTACTTAATACAAAAAAAATATTATTAATACTGTTAATCAACTCTGAGACTAGCGTAGTACTTTGTCTAAGCGAATATTTATCGTGCTTTACCGGGGTACGAAAAAAATAAGGCTTTAAATAAATTAATAACATCTGTACTACAAACAATATCAAAAGAATAGCGTATACCCGTCTCGCTCGCGCATCTCCCGTCTCACTCTGTCGCTTGATAAAACAGTGATTAGCAAGAAGACCCATTTGTATGCTTATTAGCGATCCCGGACACTTGACAAGAGTTTGTCCGGCGTGCGGTACAAGACATGGGCGGAAGCGATTTGAAGAGACAAAAATTTTGCTTTTTCTTTTTTTAAATTTTGGCATCAAAATGAATCATTTCGGATGACTGATTTTTATTGTAATTTCATTTAAAATTATTGAATATAGAAAATTGAATAATATTCTATTTTCACTCCAGTGCTCCAGAATGTAATTGTATACTAATATATATAGCTGAAGAATTTCATTGAACGCGCTAATCTGAGGAACTACTGATGGGAATTATTTTCATGTTGGTTAGAACATTTATTGAGGAAGACTAATAAAACATCACGCTGCGACTAATACGAGCGAAACAACGGGACAAAGTCTGCTGACACAGCTAGTATACATATATTGACGACTATCAGTGGCACAGATCCTCGTGTAAAACACATGACGCAAAACCGCCACCATCTTATGACTTGTTCGTTAAATCAAGCGTGACAAGAAAAAAGTTTAAAGGAAAGTCTAATTATAAGGAAAATTTTTATAGCTCTGAGGGATATACCGACTTTGCAAAGTTGTGTTATGAGTTTTATAAGCTTAAATATAGCATCGCTTTAACGAAAATTTTAAAACGTCTAACGTCGTCTTTGCCTTGCAGTATTACCCGGGATTAAATGTTTATATTAAAAGCTTAACTAAATTAAATAATGAAACAAAAAATATTTCTGTATCTATGGAAACACGACATAATTTTGCTAGAAATAGTACAAAAAAGTAAACATTATTCGAACAGTTAAGTGAAATAAGAAAGGTCACATAAGTAGTTATTACAGCGGTCAAGAAAGTGGACGTACATTCGCGACAAAATTCGCTTTTAATTTTATAGCATATAAGAAATATTTAGTTTAGTTTTGGTACATTTTTGAAAATTCTACATTATTTACGTCCTTTTCGACTGAAAAAAACACGAAAGATTTTAAAAATAAGATAGAATATAAAGTCTTTAAAAACTAAATATCTATAGTGATGAAACTAACTAAAACTATTCAATTAAATGTCATTAAGTTCATCCGGGATTCGAATCCAGGACCACCGCTTTAACCATTGCAATATGAGCTCTAAATATGAAGAAATATTCCACTTGTGATCGCAACTGTACTCCACTATCAAACGGTGGCAGCTAGGCAAAGATAATGTTAGTTTTTGATGCGAGGGCGAACCTAATCCCTCTTCGTGTGTTATTCTTTTGACCGCTGGACCCTGGAGATAACGTGTTCCTTGGGGCTGACGTCAAAATGTATTCAGGTAAAAGTGGTGTATATTTTACTGAGGTAAGATCTAATAGTAGCAAAGTCTTCGGTGCAAAATGTTTCCAAAATAAATCTATTAGAAAAATTACGCTTTACAATGCGAAATACATTAGTTAAATAAAGTCTACCCGTGGCCGCTGCAAAATATCCGAAACGTCGGGCAGTAGTTAATTAATTTTGTAATAAATTTAACCCGTTATATACTTTATTTAAATGTGTATTACTTGCGGAAACTGCAGGCAGTATTTGAATTTATATATGTTCGGAAATGGACTTCGTTTGGAAAATTTTGACATTATAAAGGTGGTAGAAATAAATATATTCCGCCCAGGTCACGAAACACCGTCAACAAATGAAAAAGCCATGTTTTTAAATTTTCGAATATCTAAATCAAAAATAATACGTCGAGAGCGTATCTTGTCAAATCGAGTGAGTCTCCCATGCTCGTCAGTCCCTCTTAATCATAAAGAAAATATATTTTGAAATTTAGTTACTCATAATATAGAGAAAAGGAGTTCCTTAATGTGTATATCTCAAGAATCAAACCCACTCACCACACTTCCTCACGTAGTGGCTATAAAAGTCAAAACTCACTTTATTATGGCCGCATCGCACCGCTACTCTAATACAGGGTGATTTATTTCGACACTCACTGAATAAAGTATGTTATGAATGGTACTTTAATATCATATTGGAATAAATATTTTATATTTTAAAATAATAATGAAAAAAATATTTAAGTTTATATTTTTTACCATACCAATATTATAAAAGTGCATTCCGGTTTGAGGAAAGTCAGAATTTTCGAATCACTAGATTGGTGTATATTTTCAAAATAATTTATTAAGTTTTTCTTTATTTCTATTTGAGGCAGAGTAGCCTAACTGCAATTTCATGACATGACTTATTTTGACATGACTAGTCCGACTTTTAAACAAAAATGAAAATGATTTTTATATATTTATGTATTTTTTTTATAATGCGTAAAAAAACTATAAAAATTTTATTTAGTTAAACAACTTTAAGTTTTATTGTTAATTAAGCGCTATGTAAGACCGTTTGATTAAGTTCAAATAAATAAAAAAAAAACTTCTTTATCATATGTCGATTATTTGCCGGTATAGTTTATTGTATCACACCCTGTACATAAGGTGTACCCTTTACGCGGCGTTAACTTCGTGACGTGAATGTGTTTTACGCTTTTATTATCCAACATAATTTATTTCTTTTATTTTATGTGGTTTGTACAAAAAAATCCAACGTATCACTAACACTTGCTCACTCATGGGACTAAAGCCTAATGTGGTGGCCTCAATTTTGTAACACGCGCGGCACTAGATATCTTAAGACTTAAAGACATTTTAAAGTTCGATGCTAAGTAACCCTGATCTTGAGATTGTGTACAACTGTTGATCAAAATAATAATAATTTAAACACGAGACCCCAAATAGATTGAAGGAAATATTAAAATAAAGTAAATTAAAGGTGAAAAAATAATTTTAACCTTATTAACCTACCGACAAGTAAATGTTAAATATTTTGCAATGCTCCATGCATATGTATGTAACAATTTCATATTAAAAAAAATGTGTATGTAAATGGAGACACTTATGAACGTTAACGTATTTGAAAGGCTTAAAAAATATATACATTAATTACTTATTCTCAAATCAAGATTGTAAAAGAAGATTTCGAGGATTCAAACCTAGAACCTGTACCGTAATGGCATTCTACGTTCTTAACAACTGTACCACGTAGATAAAAACATTTCAAAATATACATTTTATGGCAAATAAACTTTAAATTGTTATTTTATTCATAGATCTTTCCCGCTACGCGACGCAGATGTACCGTAGCGCTTTCGTAGGCCTTCGTAGAGGTAACGTAGCATGATTGTAGAAGTGCTACGTATAATGTCTTGATAACATTTTGCTAAATTTTATGGAACCTGTATTATAGATTTTTTAGTGTTAAATTTCGCTACATCCGAATTTCAACCAAACTTCGGATATTCCCTATACACTTATCCCCACTTGGCTCGCAAGATTTATCGTAATACTAAACCGTTCTTAGACAATTGACGAATTTATCACCCGTTTAACCGGGTGCATCCGGGTAATCTATGGATTTAGGCTTCTAAGCAAGTGAAATGGAGTGACGTTTAGTCCCAATTCGAGGAGAGTATAAATGTGGCATTGTTTAACGTATGTATTAATTTAATATAATCTTAATTTTCACATTCTAAGAAGCAGCACCATTTTTGATAGTAAAATAACAGCGCCTATTTGTGAAATAAAGTTGTATTAGATGAATTCGTGCAATTAGCTCAATAAGTAGTAATTATAGGGCGATTCAAGTGTTAGAGATATATATATTGTTAAAAGAAATATATCTAAAAAATAATAATGTATAAATCACTTACTTTGCAATAAACTTGTAAGAAATACGGGGCACAACCGACATCGTGGGTAAGACCTAAAATAACTATTTTATGCGGACAAAGTCACTGACTTAGCTAGTAAATATATATATATATAAATATAAGAAAACAAAGTTTGTGACATCTGTTTTAATTTTGTTAGAAAAAGTGTGTATGTTTGTTTGCTATCTATAACCAAGCAAAACGGACCAAAAGTGTATCGCTGTCACATTTTTCCTAACATAACTCCTGTTTCGTATCAGAAAGTACGTCTTACGAACGATGAGAACCCTAAATCTACATGTTCCAATAAGATTATAAATAATTCTTTACAGTATATTATAGTTTTACAAATTGCATACCTTGTCGCAAATTTTGACCTGCGGCTTCAGGATATACGGCAGACCAGGTACGGGGTTGAAAAGTGACGTCATCATGGCTGGAGCAAAAATCACTTTAACACCGTCACAAGTATAGTCAGAGCAGCACCGGCGACAGGTATGTTCGCAGTTACACTGGTCTGTTAAGACTGTCTTTTGGCTTTCCTTTTCCGTGTTTTGCCTACAGTTACAATGATTTACTTTTAAAATTGGTGACTTATGTGCTTCTTGCCTTTCACAGCGATCTCCAGTTTCTTCTGCTGGGTTCTGCCTTTCTGGGATATCCGGTCGAGTCACCAGCGTATGTTCACACGAACTGCCTTTACGAATCGATTTCGTACTTTCTTTTGGGACTTTTGCTGCGTCAGCCGTACATTCGCAACTACACGAATTGCCTCCTAAAAGTCCTTGATTGTCTTCTAGATGAATTTTTTTATCGTTTGTCTGACTTTCCACTAATCTCATCTCATTACCTTCTCTGTACAATTTTGGTTTCTTTTTATCTTCTGGCAGTTCAAGTAAAGGTTGTTTTCTTTTCAAATCGCTGGGTGTTTCTAGAAGATACTTTCTACTTTCGAATGGGCGAACGAGAAGTGTTTTTGCGTGTTTGTTCTCCCCCCTTTGGGGGTGAGTGCCTTGTGTATCCAATTTGACTGATTTTTATTACGTCCTTAGATTAAAATCTATTAACTACAGTTGAGGTTTTATTGTTTGTATCAAACGCAACGTATGAATTATAAGTCTTCACGCACCTTTATTTAAGATATTGTTATACACAACATTAAGTCTTTGTTATTTACGTTTTTACGCGATGAGATTTTGGAAATAAGCGCGTAACATTAATATGCTTTTATACGATTCGTAATGTCAGTAATGTTTATGCACTTATCAATGAAACCGAGTTATTAAATATCACTCAAATTATCAGAAACTTAAATAATTTACAAAACAAACATTTAATTCTCCGCAACTGTTTAAAAATAAACGGTTATACACTAAAATATATTTTAAATAGAGTCACTTTATTTTTTAAATAAATTTAGAGTTCATTTCGCTACTTTAAGTAAGGTTATATTAAGTTTCAAAATGAATTAGTAATCTTTTTAAATAAATATTATGCTTCAAACACTCCGTCCAATCAGTATGTATTAAAATAAGTCCTTTAGTTAAATTATTAAATAGTCTTCAGTAACAAATAGATAAATAAGAAACAAAGTTTTAAAATAAATTCATTTAATTTTTAGTCCAATGTCTTTACACGTTTTATGGTTTTTATTCATTAGCTTTTCACATGTGTATGTATCGTCAAGTATAATAAACACTCACTAAGCAATATTACATATTCACTTTCCACATGTTGCAAAGGTCATTGACACAGTCACATGTTTTTTGTTTGTAAACAAACACCGTAAACAGAGGGAAAACAAATTAAATTCTATTAAATTTTCCTCTTTTCCACGTCTCAGAACACGTGTCTTAATAAACCTTATAGGTTATATAGTGGTTAAAAAGTACAGTTTTATATATTTATGTTTTACTTTGATGGAAATAAGAGAGGTTGGGTGAAAATACGTTAGCGCGCCGCGAAAAGCTGTGGAAAACTGAATGAATCTTATAGGAGGGAAATGTGGGCGTGTGAAAAGGAGTGACTTGGCCACGCCCAGTGTTTTAAATTATTGCAATGTCTAACCATTGTCTAGACCGGACAAAATGGCGGTGTTTAAAAATAATAAGAATTATTAAACGAGAAAGCCTGGATTAAAAATATACAATTTTAAGGTTGGTCACGACACAAAATGTTTCTTTTTGCTTACATAACATAACATAAGACACAGTAACGTATCTGCCCCCATACCTGACATAGGCAAGGAATCTTGTTTGAATATTTTTTATGATGGAAGACAACGATGAAATACCACAGCCATATAAAATCAAAGCAAGATGCACTGTCTTCCTATTTTTAGCTTTGGATATTCGGAAATCTACGCAATAAAACCGAAACGCGAATAAACTTTATGGTTTTTTCATCTGTAGATAGAGTTTTGTGTATAATAATATTCTATATTCCTACAAGCCATTTAATATCCAGATTTCCGGACAAAGTCCAACATGTTTCAGGAAAATTATAAATTTATTAGAACACAGGCTACTTTTATTTGAAATTTAACTTAAATGAAATATCATTACTTTGAACATACGTGCATTGCCCTTAAATTACAAATCTTAATATAACGATTAGAAATTGTCCTCTTTCGTCGTAAGAACCTAACCAGGCGATAATAAAATTACGAGGCATTGAAAAGGGGAAATCTTTCTAAAACAATGTCTTCGTTAGGTCTGTTGATTTTTCCGCGTGACGATACGATACGAATAATAAACGACTTTTTACTTATAATGAATTCAAGACAGTATAACATTGAATAGCTATACAAATAGTGCCCTATGTTTTAAGAGTAATTTCTCTTAGTTTTCTTTAAGAAGAGGCGTTTCTAATCGGTCCAAATATTTTTTTATTAATATTGCGATTTTATTGTTTTTTACATATTCACATTGCTTGTTCTCACATGATTATAATTGAAACTGTCTTACGTATTTGACATTACTTGGTAAAAATGAAACGGTAGCTCAATTTTTATATTGTAGAATTTTTTAACACGCGTTTTATGTGACAATATAATATTAATGAAATTTTAATGAAGTAAAAAAAACAAAAAACTGAATGGCAGCTGAAATCCCAGTATTTATTAGTTAACAACATGCAACTTTGACATTGGATACTCATATGCACTATCTGAAGCGGAAACGAGATTTTACTTTAAGGGTTCCTGGTTCGTGGTCCGATCGAGAACTTTGATATTCCTACCACCTATTTGACAAACGGATTTAAGTTCTAATTATACATTTATTTTAACATGTTTGATCTTGTTGACATGTTGAACTTAAATATTGTCTATAGTTTACGCGAGTAGTACACATTTAAATAAAACACTTTAACGGTTTAAAACGCGATATATTAGTTAAACTTATTCGAAAATGATTTTTAACTTCGGCCCGACGTTTCGGATGCTTTGCAAAAAAAAAAAGAAAAAAGGGGGAAAAAAAAAAAAAAAAAAAAAAAAAAAAAAAAAGGGGGAGAAGGGGGGGGAAAAAAAAAAAAAAAGAGGAGAAAAAAAAGAAAAAAGGGGAAAAAAAAAAAAAAAAAAAAAAAAAAAAAAAAAAAAAAAAAAAAAAAAAAAAAAAAAAAAAAAAAAAAAAAAAAAAGGGGGGGGGGGGGGGGGCGCCCCCCCCCCGCGGGGGGGGGGGGGGGGGGGGGGGGGGGGGGGGGGGGGGGGGGGGGGGAGGCAACCCCCCCCCCCCCCCCCCCCGGGGGAAAAAAAAAAAAAAAAAAAAACCCCCACCCCCCCCCGGGGGGGGGGGGGGGGGAAAAAAAAAAGGGGAAAAAGGAAAAAAAAGAGAAAAAAAAAAAAAAAAAAAAAAAAAAAAAAAAAAAAAAAAAAAAAAATTTTTGGGGGGGGGGGGAAGGAAAAAAAAAAAAAAAAAAAAAAGGAAAAAAAAAGAAAAAAAGAAGGAAAAAGGAACCGGCCGGCGGGACCCCCCAGATAAAAAAAAAAGGGTGTAAAATGTAGACTATATTATTAAACTTACATTTCGGATGCTTTGCAGTAGTAGCCGGGGAGACGGAAGCATATTTCGCGTTTAAAACCGTTTAATTTAAATTATTAAAAACTGTTAAAAAAATTAATACATAGTACTTAATTTTTACATATTTTGTTAGCCTGCCTTTCGCGGTTTTAGTTTTGTAGCATTGAATTTATTAATTCGTGTCGGTACCTGACTATACTTATAATTAAAACGGCCATACATTTTTAGTCAACTAAATCTAAAAAACTAAATCCGTACCGTCTGTAGTTTAAGTGAATAGTGGACATTTTAATAAAACACAACTATACATATTAATTATTTAAACTAAGTCCTTACGGCACCTTACGGGGAGTGGCAAACATTTCGCGTTTTAAGCCATTTAATTTATTGAAATATAAGACAGAGACAAGAGACAAGACACAAGACACGACAACGACAAGTATAGGGACGTGTTACTTATAATTTGGGATTAACCCTTTACAGTGGCAAAATGAACCCTCACCTGAACCTCAATTAACCCTCGCAATTAGGTGATCCTAATTTGGGGTCATTTTATTTTACGACGGTCCAAAGGTGTAATTAAAGCTTTTGAAGGGTTAACATATACAATACCATATGATAAAATCTATGTAATCTAGGTACTTTATCAAATTTTTTTATTGAAAGGGCCCTCCATTTTCACACGATATCAATAAATGGTAACTATTGAAATAAATAAAGAATTTCAATTAAAATATTTAATTTTATACTTATACGACACTAGTGTATCGACTGTTGACAAACTTGTCTTACTTAGAGTAAAGAATTGTCTGTTTGTTTATGAGAGTTTTTTTATTTAGTCTTTTAACTATGGCCCGTCCATCCCCACGTGCAGGAACCGTAAAGCATCCGAAACATCAATTTTAAAATAATTAAGAATAAGTTAACTATTATATTTCGCTTAAAACCCGTTAAGGTTAAATAATAAGGGTTAGGAAACATGTAGAACTCAATAACTAACACATTTTATATTTGTATCGTAAAACCTACAACTAGAGGCCCAGTTTATCAAGTATGATTTAAAACATAATATTAATTAAAGAATATTTACGCAAGTCATGAATCAGCAACTGAATTAAAAAAGCCCATAGTCAAATACAGATTTGGCCCCGTTTTTTAAAAGAAGAAATTTGAGTAAACTACATTTTTATATAATTATATATTTGCCCTATGCCGCAGAGAAAATATTTAAGTCTAAAAAAGGTTATGCATCGGTTTAGTATTAAGTTGATTAGTTGTTAACACAATGTAGTGTGTCTTCGTCTAATAGAAAATTATTTTCGGCCATATTTGATTTAAAATTTAGCCCTTTTCAAACAATAAAACCTCGTCCGTATTGTAAAAGCGCCGGCCCGTATATCACAAGATTGCGTCAAGCGCAGACGCTCTGAAGTTTGACAGCTTATCTGTGAATTATAGTTTTATCTGTGGGCTTTGACTCGAAATAGGGGTTAGTTTTGATGTGCCACTACAAACTACTTTAAATAGATACATATATTTATAACGTACAAATAAATGTTATTATAAATATGCCTTTAAAACATTAAATTTTTGTGAAAAATAGGTTCTTACTTAGCCCAATAACGACAGTTACGGATAATACTAATATAGAAAGCTGATGAGTTTGTGCGTTTGATTTGAACGCGCCAATCTCAAGAAATTGGTTCGAATAAAAAAATCTAGGATTATAGGCTTCGAAACATTGCGTTCTGACGAATAGGAGCAAATAAACAGCGGGAATTAAAAAAAAATACATTTTTCATCACTATAGGTTTCCGATGCCTACGCTGCGAAAGAATGTGCTATGAAAGAATTATTCATATTTAAATGTTTTTTTTAAATGTCCGCAACAATATGTGTCTATCTTTTAAGATTAACTCGCAAGAACGGTAACAGCTTAAATTGATGGCCAAAACAACTATACTACGCGACCGAGCCAGTAAAAATGTGTCTTTTCGTTAATCGTTAATCCACTTTATTTACGGCAAATAATTTATCTGGCTTTTTGAATAATTGAACGACCTCGTTTATTAATACCAACGGATAGGAATATTTAAAATTTCGGTCGCGAACCAACGTCTACAGATAAAAAATTCAGTTAATTTTCGATTCAGTTATTAGGTCGGTAGCGCCATATTTTATCAAAGACTACCCTCTTGTCTGTTCCGTGTACCTTAACTAAAACTATTCATGTTCAAGGCTCGGTAGCTCAATTGGTAGAGCAACAGCGCGGAACGCTGACGATGCCGGTTCAAGGCCTGCCCGAGTCGAAATGTTTTTAAATTTTAACCTCCTACGCAATGCGCTAATAGTTGAGCCCGGAAACACATTAGTAAATCAAATAATGAAATATGTGTATTAAATATGTTTTTAAGTAATTATGTGATTTAAACAATTTCAAACATAACCCCAACATATAACAAGATAACATTGTAAAAAAAGGGTTTAAAATGCTTGGTTTTATATTTCAAAAAAACAAAGTTTTGAAATTAACTTTACGCTTTAAATTATTGTTATATGTCTAGTAAGATATAAAAGTTAGTCCGTTTTATAAATGTATAACAAAAATAGAGTTTCTTCAAAAGAAGTTTGTCTCTAGGCTCAGTGGTGTTACTAAAATCTACCATAAATAAATATAAAGATAGAATAAAAGAGCTAAGAGGTAGCTCCAATCGTAAAAACAATTTGTTGTATAATTACATCTATTGTCCATCTCTTCTTCAACATATCGGAATTTGCGTCCCATAATTTAATTGTAGAATTATTACCTATAGTCCTCTGCACATAAAACATTGTAAAATAATTAAGGTTTAAATTCAGTTCAGGCAACGTGTAAATTGTACAATTGTGTTTTTAAATTGGACCAATGCGATTTATTCGTTAACTCAAATATATTCAAGGAGAAAGTTTTACAATCTATAATTTTCAATTAGCTTCTTAATTTCTAACTTAACTTTGTCGGTAGTTTTAATTTTTACTCATAATGTTTAATATATTTCGTTAATGTTGTACATACCTTTAAGTTAAATACAGTAGTAAACATTTTCATTAAAAATAGATTTTGTAAGTTTAATTATGTACGCAATTAAATACTGTCTATAGTTTACGCGACTAGCGAGTACCTACACTTTTAAATAAAACACTAACGGTTTAAAACGCGATATATTAGATAAACGGGGAGACCCCCCCGTCACCACTAGTTTAACTAATATATCGCGTTTTAAACCGTTAAAGTGTTTTATTTTAATATGTACGTAATTGTTAAGCTTTTACAAAAAAACAAATGAGTTAGGTAGACGAAGACAATGACTATAACGTTTTCTCTATTTCAAAAACACAAAAGCTCATATTATATATTATAATTAGATAGCGCTAACAAAAAGTAAAATTAAAATTCTTCTAAGCACGTTAACTCACGCCTTTTGTACTCTTATTGTGTGTAATAGTAGTAATGTATGCCTAGTTGACTTCTTCTTCTTCTTGAATATTTAATGGGAGGTAGGAATATCGAAATTCCGTCCAGGTCTCGAACCGCCGTCCACAAGTGAATAAGCCGTCAAGGTTAATCGAGTTTCGATTTCAGTCTGTACATTTGATTGGTTACTTGCTAAGATGTTATATGGCCGAGGTACTTCACCTACCGTCGAGAGAACGCAATTTACTATTTATTTCTATTATAAAGAAAATATGCTATGCAGACGTAGCTAATGACGTATCGCACACATTCATTAAAACGTTGCGATATATCTATTTGTTTCTTTCCCAGACACGTTTCGTTAAATTACACGCATAATGGATCTTGACGGTGGTTGACAATTCTACTAAAGAAATCTTACAATATACCTGGGCGCAGAAAATTATGAGAAACACGTGTTGCTTACGAACAAATTGAAGTATTAACTTGGCATGTAAATTTAGAAATAAAATCGTTAGGCATACCTAAATCCATCCATAGCTATAAATATATAAAAAAAATCAATACTCACAGGTTTCTTGACTTTCTTACCACCGACGCTCGAAGATGGCGGCAGTCGAGGTATGGCGTCTTCTTTTAAGTCACTTTGTTACTTCATTGTACTAGCGGATAGAAAAATGACTTACTAGCAATTTTAAAAAATTTACTTTTTCAGATAACGAGTTTATGGCTCAAGAAACGACGATGTAATGGCCATGTAACGACAAAGGAGACATGGCGCTAGCGCATCGCCGGTCGTTCGTGATAGCTCACCGAGAGGAAAGGGAAAAGCGACTCGTAATTGGTTAAAAATTGGCGCCTGACGCAACATGGTAGCCGGGTGTCGCTAACGGAAAGATAAAAAATACTAAGTTCTAGTAATTTTAGCAGCTTCCATACTCCTCATTAGTTGACAGCAATGTCAGCAACTGAACACCTACTTTGCTGCAAACTTCTCTATTTTTTTTAATTTAAGCCCTAAAAGCCCCAGCATTTGTTGGTTTTGTATGTTAGTTGTGAAAAATAAAAACAATATATTGAATAAATAATTTATTGATATACGATAACTTGATACATGCGCGTGATACAAAAGATAAAGACATTTGGGAATAATGTATAAAAAAAAATCAATAACATTGGTTATAATATTTCCGATGAAGATTCACCATCAGTTTTATGACGGTCTTCGATCGATGGAAGGTCATCGCAGCCATATAACATCTAAGTCAGATGCGCTCGACCTATTAGGGCTTTTCGGATCGTTTAATTTAATCGAATAGGACATAACATGGGACGATATAAAGCAACGATAACCATTATTTTCACTTAGTCGCTTCGCATGCTTCGAAAAAATATACTTTTGTTATTGTCCTCATCTGAGAATCTCCCCCCCCTTTCACACCAAAACTGGGATCTTATGTATCATTTTAAGGCTTATCAGTTTTCATTTGAGAATCAGTTGAAGATGATTTTCTTTGCACTAAGTAAGGCATATAAGATTAAATTACTGTGTATTTTTGCATAACCTCATCAAGTAAAGAATGTTTAAGCTGTCAAAATATTGTTGTAAACTTGCTAGTTCCCCTTCATCATCTCGTTATCCACTCCATCATCAGTCATTAGCCAGCGCTGCGAACTTATTAGCGATCGCCGTCGTATCTTCCTCCGACTCACTCTCGCTCTCACCACTGCCTGAGTCGGCATGACGCTCTGTGTCCGAGTCGAATATCGAATCTGGGACGTTCTGCTCGTCACTGGTGAGCGCCTGCACCCACTTTACATACTTGATTTCATCTGACGACTCGAAATTTGCTGAAAAATTATAGATTCTACTTTACTGGAGCTTCCGATCGAGAGAAGTTTAGACCAAAATAGATATATAAAGTTCGATTCCAACAAAAAAATCCCACTCTTCTCAGTAGGATAAAGATTGAGCACTTAATTAGGTTTAGTGAAAGGCTAAACTGGTTTCGTGAGGGTTCGATTCCCGCGTGTGCTATAAGATCATCAATTCAATATTTATAATAAGCCAATTCGTCAATCTAACTTATTTTTTTCTCTTAGTGAATTATTGTCTGTAATGTACGCGAATAGTACAGATTTAAATAAAACACTTCTAACGATTTAAAACGCGAAACATATTAGTAAACTATATTTTATCTGCTTTGCACCATCACGGGCGCGTTTTAAACCGTTAAAAGTGTTTTCTTCTTAATCTTCTTCTTAATCTGACCTGGTGGATTACAATTAGTGATAGTACATGTCAGAAATCCATGGTGTTACCCTGAGATTCGAACTCAGTACCGCTAGTGCTTATAACGATCTGGATAACAGAGGACACTTACATCTACTGTCCGTGAAACCGGGTGGTCTCAACCACAGACATATTTTTCCGTCCAGAGCCATTCTTAGAATGCTGTTAGCCGCTCTGTATGTATCTAACCTGGAAATGTATAAGTTATAGTCAGTCTAGTTGTTAAAACATTCCACTGCAGACGAGGTCCCGGGTTCGAAATACATTTGGAACTATTACAAGAAAACTCCTACTGCTAGGAATTCAAAAGTGGTTGTTCTGAAGCCATCTGGTCTGGTCTTCATTTATTTAGACGTTGTAGCAATGTACGGCTAATAATGAAGAGTTTCCAATTTTTCTGAAACATGTTGGATTTCGTCTGGAAATCTGGATATTAAATGGGTGGCAGGAATGTCGAAATCCAGGTCGCGAACGGACGGTGGTTCGTGACCTGGATTTCGATTCGACAGATCTGTCAGTCTGTGGATTTCTGAAAATCCAGAGCCAAAGTCGTGGACACGGGGCGACATGAATTTAACAGATATGGAGAGGGGAGGGGGGAGAGAGTAATGTCAGTATATTTTGTCAGAGAGCTTATTTTGAAAATCTAGCAGGAAGCAGCCATGGCTGACTCACCTAGCTGCCTTGGCCGTGAGGTAGCCTCTCTTCTTCGCCCAACCATCGCATATGTCTCTCGGAGACCACGAGTCATCGTTTTCTGGGTGATCTATGCGCAGGAGTTTCGGTAGGTCCAGCCTCTCCGCTAAGTATCTGAAGTGAAAGAAAAAAATCTTTGAAACTGCAGAATTTGTTTGTAAACGCGATCTCGGCTAGGAACGAACTGAAAAATAATTTTTGTGCTAGTGCATTTATCGAGGAAGGCTATAAGCTATACTTAGAAGATACAAGGGGAAATGTGGGAAAAAAAAACAGGGAAAATTATTCCGCCATTTATGAGTTTTCGTTGCGTACGCTGCAAAAACGCTTCAAGATACCCAAAGATTAATATGTGTAAAATGTGTGTGAAAGAATGGTTCCTCTTTGAACGACCTAAAAATAAGTCCCCGACAGTATATACTTTAAGATTAACTCGCAAGAACGACGCGACGGAACGCGACTGACGTCGTGGGGTAACAACTATAATTAAAAAGGGTGATGGTGTATAAATATTATATTATAAATACCTAATCGTCGTATATGGCTCCCGTAGTTGCGCGATGGGATAGGACCCCATCAAGATTTGGATGGATCGCGGTACTGTTGACGGGAAGACCAAGCCGGGACAGTCACACAGTCGGACCTGAATATGAGAAAATATACAGTTTAAACTCTTTATAACGACAAGTTATCTCTTATAACGAAAAAGCCCGTTACATTACATTGAATAGACACCGATAGTTGTAGATACATGTACAACTATCTAGCAAGTTTATAAACAGCCCTTACAATTATTCGATTTTTTTTATTGTGACATATTCTAGAAAATAACATAATAGTGAATACCCCTTACCCCGTGGGGCATAAAGGAAAGCGGTGAACAAATTTCTGTGTCCACTTTACTGATATGGTTTTATTTATAGACACTACTTGTCTATAAATGAAACATATCAGACATCTGTGCCCTGCCCCACCGAAATAATCCAATCCAATCTTTCTGTGAATCTTGCCTGACCAAAACACTTTATTTGTTCTTAGACATCAAACCCCAGACCCAGTCTAGCCATGCAGCTACGGAGGTAGCCACAAAACGTAAAGTTAATTTCTAGTTATTTGTAACTTAGTAGTTTTTTCCCTTTTATATTAATCCATACACCAACCTGCGAGGTGAGAAATATCGTTTGGAAGTGCTTCGTGTGCCCAGGGGTTTTGGAAACGCTGACCACCTTTTTGCCCATGATCGCGTTCATGAGCGACGACTTGCCCACGTTCGGTTGCCCCACGCAGCCTATAGTGAGAATTCCGTTCTTGTACTTCTCGTGGGTGTAGAAGGTCGTGTCCGCCTTCTGGAGGATCGTTTCACCTGAAACGGAAACATCGAGAACAACATGTATAGTAAGATATCTCGTGTATTTATTTTTTCGTCAAACGCGCGATTTTTAAACAAATGGTGTAGACATTTTTATTATGGTCCTTAATTTCAGAATAAAATAAGATTATAGTTATATTAGTTATATATATTAAGATAATATTCAGAAAATTTTAAGATTCTCTGTAGGTACTAAAAATACACGTGATGTTGAGAAGGGGGAGGGGGGTTGGTCTTAAACCTCACTACGTATCACCAATGGGGGAGGGGGGATTTAAAAATTCTAAAAAAAGGTCACGTGATTAATGGACAACCCCTTAACACGATGCGTTGTCGGCATATTTTGGCTTTGGATATTTCTTTTTCATTTTGATAATCACAAATATAGAAATTGTCGTTTTTTTATGATAAAAGAGTACAGAAACGGTGATGGAAGATGAGATCAGAATGTTTACTATTTCTGTTTTAGAACTTACCAACTTCCGTCTCGTCATCATCAAACTCCACGTCAGTCTCTTCCTTTATCTTCTTCTCCCAAGACGACAGATCCACCTCCCCATTGACAATATCTTTGCACGCTTCGAGGATCTTGGTTGCGCCCTCAGCGCACATGCGCTGCCTGCCCTTGCGACGTCGTACTTGTAGGCCTAGAAGTAGAATTATTTACCAACTTGAAAGAAAAGAGAAGCTATTCCCCGTTTATTTTATTTTAATTTTACCAACTCTATTTGTGCATTCCACACTTACACAATTATAGTATCAGTGAGTCTATTATGAATGCCTTTAAATGAAGCAAAATATTTAAGTATTCTTTTGAATATACAACTGGGCTTCCAAGCCATGGCTAATATACTCCAGTTTTCAAGCTGTTTAGTTTAAATGATATGGAGATTGAATTGTCTTAAACCCAATTTATGACTAATCTTGAAAAAAAATGTTGCAAAAATAGACCAACGCTTATTTTTTCATTCATTTTTAAACAGTTCCCAAACAACCTACGAGAGCTAGGTTTAGAACTTATTACAACTGTTTCTGAAATGGAAGTCTAGTACTACTAACTCACCGGCCTTATCAGCACTCGCCCCGGCTAGATTGTACCCTGGACAAGACGTGAAGTAGACAACCCTTAGCCCAGGGCATTTCCTGGTCAAATATTCCTTCCACGCAGCGACCACGGATGCGGGTACTAGATCTATCTTGTTTAGGACAAGGATCATATCTTTGTTTTGATCATTCACTACATACTCGTATAGGGATGGTGGAAACATCATTCCCTAGAAAGGAAGACAATATTAATATATATATTAGTAGGTTATGCTTTTTTATTGATAAAGGAGGAAAGAGAAACATGGCGCTCACTCGAGTGGAGGTGAAAGTTTTTTTTTTATATGTGCTACTCTCGTAATACACAGTCAATACTTTACTTCTGTAAATCAATGTATGGTATGACAAGTTAACACTTATTGAGAAGATGGAGGTCTTGGCAAACATTTTGTCTTCCTGCACCTATCTGCAGCATAAGTTGGACATACTCACGGCGAATCTCACGTCGACAATCAAAAGCAGTACGTCACACATCTCCAGGACCCGCCACAGTTGACGCCACGTCTCCAAGTTTAGCTCAAAATACGACATGTCCTTCCAATGTGGCGACGATTGAAGTTCGTTTATGTATTCCTGTCACAACATAAGGATACAATAATAAATAACTGGAACATTTTTACATGTGAGTGCAAAATTGATGACCACGTTTGAAGTTTAATAGCTAAGCAACGTGGGTCTTAGATTAGCAGGAAGTCATTATTTCAATGAAACACACACAAGCCCGATTACAAGGGGTAACAAGATTTTACACAATGCATATTTGAAGAATGTTTTTGAAGGAATAAAAACAACACAGAAACGCAAAGTATATTAAACACTTTACAGAAAAAAATATTATTCTTTATAACAGTGAACTATAAATATGAGCCTAAACACATAAAATATAATCACTCACTCTAAAGTACTTCTGTTCTTGAGCATCGAGTTGAGCTGGTGTCATTTTGAAATCCCACGGAGGTCGTTTCGGGAAGGCTATCTCTGATGGGAAAAAATCAGTGGGATTTATCTCCATCTCTTTCTCACTTACTGGGTGAAGACCCTTCCTGAAAAATTTATTTATTTATTCTTAACGGTTTATCAACTGAATATATATATACAATACAATATAATTTAAGTTTATACCAACTATCACATAACAAAGACAAGCACAGCATTGTTTTAAGTTTTTAAAGCAATTGCAAGATAAAAGATTAGCCATTTTAAATATATTTCTTTCGTTATTGAGGTGGAACATCTTCTTACAATATTGTAACACTTCTATTTGCTTTCTGCATAATGAATATATTAATAAGAGTCAAAACTCACAGCGCCTCCTCCTTTTTGATCTTCATTTCCTCATCTGATTCTCTGTAGAACTTTAGAGCGAATCTGTTGGCATCTCCTCTACCTCGTGATCTGTTTGGCTGATAGTTTACAGCGAGAACATCATAGTTGTCAGTGTTTGAAGATGCTGAAATCCAGAAGAACCATTTCTATTTTTATAGATTTACAGTTAAAATAGAAGACCCTAATAAATCACGACAACTAACTAATCATATTAGGAATGATATAAATGTTGTGTGAAGTGGAAGAAAGCCATAGAATTCCAGGATTATAACCCTAAACTGTACTGACTTGATAAATAAAAATACATACATGATAACAGCAATGTTTTATTTTGTTTTTTATTCTGCAACTGTTGCTTTTTAGCTTTCCCACTGAAGGGTGTCTTCCTCCGAGCTTGTGGCATTTCTGTTTCTGTAAAGGTCGAAATATTATATTCAGTAATTGAAATAAGCCAAATTTGTTAATAAAAATCTGCATATTTATGCCCGCCTAAGTGCTAAACAGTGTGCTCATTACATAGGTAGATGGTTCAATTTATTGTTGTGTTATGGTTATTTATATGTATAGTAAACAACTCATGAAGCACCTGTATTAAGAGATAATGAATCCTACCTCTGTTGGATCATCAGTATTTAATAGTAAGCTTGCTTATAGATAAGAAAGAGCTAACGATAAAAAACATCAGTTCCTTGAACTCATGCAGAGATTAAGGTTGCTGAAACAGCTGATACCTCATGTTTTCATACAGAAATTTAAAGTAAGTCTTACATTTTGGAAGATAAGAAATATGGTAAATAATTAACCTGATTATTATAAATATTTTAAAAACATATACGAAATTCCTTGAAATGTTTTGTTGAAACCGGCAGCAAACGGTGGAGTTTACAATCGAAAAAACACCGGTAAAATATAATGTTATATGTTAATTGTCAAACACATATGTTTAAAATGAAAGTTCTTTATTTTATATCTTTATTATCAAATTAATTCATTTTTATTTATAAAAGAACGTATTATAATAGTAAAAGTAATAAAACGAATTACAATTTTCAAGCTATTATAGTTTATTTTATTCGTACTTCTCGCATACTCACTTTAGCGGTTCTTAATGATCTTTCATTGTCTATTTTTTTATTTAGCTTTTCCATTATAAATAACCTCACGACGTGTTGCTATTATTAGTTATTGGATGATACTTATTTCAATTATTTTTTGCATACGCTTTATCTATTTAAAACGGGAAAGCCATTATTAAGAAGAAAAAGAAGAAGTAATTTCAATTATGACGTTTGACACTATGATTGTCAATATACAATAGTAATGCCAAGTAATGTTTTTAATTTTTAAATGTAATAACCTCGAAAATCAAACAACCGCGCAATATTATTGTTTGCCTCTTAAAAAACTCAATAATTTAATTTAAAATAAGACACATCAATTTAAAAGAGGAAATATGCTACCCCTATCGCTTTTACGTACCGCGCAGAACCATCCTATGCTTGTAGAGTTGAAAAATGGTGAAACTTACAATGGACATCTAGTCAGTTGTGATAATTGGATGAATATTAATTTACGAGAAGTTATTTGCACGTCTCGCGATGGTGACAAGTTCTGGAGAATGCCGGAATGTTATATTCGTGGGAGCACAATTAAGGTACATGATATGTTGTACAAGGGAGCCAATCCCAACTAGATGGTGTCCTTACGCCGGCAAAACTTGCAAACCGTGGCTGATATATAGAAATTAGTGATAAAATCAACATAGCTTCACATGCCTTGGTTCACCATCTTCCTTTATCTCTATAAATAAATTTCTACTGTCACTTTCCATATTGTTGTATACTTATGTCTTAATCTGACAGACAAATTGTATGTACCTCAATTAATCACTGCTCAAGTAAAACAGAATTTAACACTTAACTTCTGTGTGCAGAACATTAAATATGTTTCAACTATGTTGTTGTGTTTCAGTATCTCAGAATCCCCGATGAAGTGATAGACATGGTGAAAGAGGAAACACAAGTGAAAGCTAGAAGCCGCAACGAAGTGTCAAAGGGTCGCGGAGGTCAGAACATGAGGACCGGTCGAGGTGGCAGTCGTGGGGCTTTTGGAAACAGGGGACGACCAGCACCATTAAGGGGAGGTGGGGCAGGAAGGCCACAGAATAAAAATAAGAAGTAGGTTGTATTATAATAATAATAAATAAGTTATAAGGTATTTATGTTTTATTGACCTCCTATTATTTGAATTAGAAGTAACTCTATTGAAACTTGTATCTTAACTTTAATAATTCTGCATCTGATTTTAAACAATATAGTTTATACAACTTGTATAGCTTATGTAACTTAACCATTGTTAATGTAATGGTGGTAAAAAGGTCATTAGAAAATCATCAGCAATATTAAAATAAGGTTTATTATTTGAAGTGACAGGGAATACAGAGTCCACCTTTACGATTGTAGTATGGTTACAATAACTATATCCATATTTGTATAATCTGAAGCTATGACTCGGTTATCAATAAGTTTAAAATTATGATTACGATGTATTTACTGCACTTTGTAGTTGAAATTTTGTGTAAATTTGAAAGGAAGACAGGAGTATAATGTGTAAGCAATAAACCTTAATTTATGCCTATTTCTACTAATATCTGGATCTCAATAATAGCTGAATGCAATTTCTAAATTGCTAGTAGAAACTAATGTCGCAAGATATTTTAAATTTGTGACATATTACTTTTGCTGCTATTTTGATTATGTATTATAAAATTGTTTAACTTCTGATACTTTACCTCTAGTACTTGTTACCTTGTCCTTTCAAATGGGAATCATTTGGATTAAATTAAAGTGTGTAATCGTGCACGAGACAATTCAAAACAGTTGGCTAGTTAATATTCTTAGTACTTTGTATTGTTATTTTGTTTCAACCTATTCATGCTCCACAACTGGACATAGGTATCCTCGCTAGTGGCGCTAGAGCTTAGACCCACCACTCCCTTCTCTTGCTTATTGATGAGCTGGTGTATCATAAATAAGCATTAACGATGCTATACTGCTTTATTTCTTCTGTAAGTTTAGTTTATGTGAATGGGTATTTTGTGTTATAGGCGGGGGTTAAAATAAAACTAACACGTCAAAGATTTAATATTGGACTAATATTTAGTAAAATACCATATTATAATAAAATTCATATAAAAATTCAAGTATTTCAGTTTTAAACAATACCTACTTAGACTCGTCGAGGCGAAAACAAAATAGTTTTAAAACAGCCGAATCGTTGATTATTTATCTGGCAACATTTATTTATCAAAATGGCAGAAATATCGCTAGCGTGATCCGGCCTATTCACCCTTGACATACAAGTGTTGCCAGGAGAATCAGATATACATACCCGCAATGATCGCAACCGCGACGAGCCAATTAACTCTAATATAATACTATTCAAACAACGAAAAATAATCACTCTTAAATAAAAGAACTCAACGCTAAACACTACGTAATCGTTTACATATACATAATTATTATAAATATATAAAAACAGTATCGCATAATTTGATAGAAATTTAAATTATCTGTAAAGCTCTGAAATCTTCAAACTACATTTTACTCTATAATATTGACGATAACGATCATACTCGCGCGACGCGAACCGGCCGGACGAGGGTGTGACGTCGCGCAGTTCGCGCCGCACGTTTTTACAAATACATAATTACGGCCAATGTGCAATATGCAAAGCTTATACTATTTGTTATATTTATAAAAGTACTAAAAAAAACAAACGATACTACACTAAATAAATCGATAATACAAAAAGTTATACAAAAAAACTGTAAAAAATAAATAGGAATTCAAAAATATATCAAAACAAGCGGGAATATCTACGTCTAAAAGCGTCCAGAGTTCATCCGGGGAGAGTTCATCCGGGGAACGATTAAAGGAATAATTGGGAATGGCAACGTGCCCCGCTTGTCTTTTCTTGTCTTTGGGACGCTGTCTTTGGTCGTTAGTGGAGAACGCGTTGCGATAATGTACTTACAAAAATAATAAAACAGAGGCTGACCGGTGTCTCTAGAACTAGGTCTCGTGTCAAAATAACTATAGCTCTTCGGAGAGACATGCGAAAAAGGTCTAATGACATTTTGATGTTACTTCGCCACTTCGGCTACACTGAGTGTGTGACCTGCCCCGCATCTCTTTCCCAAACGAAAGTATACACAGTTGACACTCCATCACGGTAGACTTATCGACACGGAAAAACACAAAACTACAGTACAAAAGGCAATTAAAGTTTCAAATTCATTTTAATATCTCCACAATTGTCTAAAATAATGCATCGCACGAAACAAACAAGGAGCAATTAATGTAAAGCGCTAGTTAACAAAACTCGCTAATGACCGTTTCGTCAATTTTCACGTCGAGGGCATTTCGACAGAGCGGACAAAACGATCCGAACCGATACATGTTTATAGAATAAAACTGATCAAAACCGAATATAAACGTCGACAATGGCTTCAAATTATTTAGCTAGAGTTCGCAGCGGGCGCCCGGCGAGGTCCGGCCGAGAGCCGGCGAGAGCCCGGCGGGCGCCGACGGCGAAATTAACAAAATCATTGTAGTTTACAACAAGTTAATGAAATAACCGTCTATAAAAATATATAATTCTAATTTGAAATTATAGTCACGGCCGACCCCATGGCATGCTACGAAGCAACTGAATCGTTTAACTAACGCCTGAACCCGGAAACCAAATCAACACAGTCTATGGTACGTCTCGACGCGTGGCGGGGTCGGCCCGTTTAAAATTCACTAAAAAAATATTTTCCTATGCACCTTTCCCGGCCTGTCGGAGTTCCCCAAACTATGTGGATTAGAAAAATACTTAAACGACAGTGCAAGAAATATTTTACAAACAATAATATTGTCTAGCAACATTAAGGTATAAGGTACTATGTAATATACTTCAACTAGGTTAGGTAATGAATTGCACTACTTTCGCTATTTTATTTATAATAATGTAATAATTTCACTAAAATTTCTATTCACTTCAAATTTACAAGCCCGTTCGCGCTAGGCGAAGACGCTAAGAAAAATTTCCTAATCTCGGTCCGCCTCCGATGAGTCGTTATAAAACATTTTTTTGCGGATTTTCACGTTTTCCAACTAAGAAACAACGTACGGTATACGGTACGGTACTATTTACATGCGAGTGAACGTGCAAAAAAACTCACACAGGACTACAAACACGAGGGGACAGAATCGTACGATATAATAACAACAATAATAATTTCCTCAATCCAAACGTTAGCTACTAATTATCAAAGTACAAATTCCACATCAAAAAATGTATAAGAAAGTCATCGCTATGCCCCCCGCACTTTGCTCCTCTCGTGATATGCGACAAAATTACTATCTAAAATGGAAAATAGTATTGAAACAGCTACGCCACTAGAAAACAGACAACTTACAACGAGAACAAAAGGGCCGCGCGGCCGTAAACAAGGAACCGAGCAAAACAATCCTACAAACTACCAACTAAAACTGCCCCGTGAACTAAAACTAAACTCAAAAACGCGTACACTTAGTAGAAATTAAAGGACACTCGAAGTCGAGACCGCGGGGCGAGACCTCCTCCGAAAACGATACAAGAAAAAGCGAAGAAAACCTTCCTCCGAACGAGCGCAGTCAAATCGTTCAAAGCCTAACGTCAAAAGCTCGAAAACTCCCGCCGTTTTCGACGTCACCTGTCAAGAAACCACTCGCCACAGACTACATATCCCATCCAATCACCTCAGTTTATCGAATATAATCTAACGCCAATCGTTTTGGGCGCCGGCCTCCGAGCGACGTTTCGGAGGCCAATTTAAACGTAGAGACATCTAAGCGCGCGGGCGCCTCCTACGACGTCGCGCGTAAAGTAAAAAAAATCACGTCCGAATTTCACATTAATCGTTTTTTTTTATAAAAATATAAAAATACAAAATGGGACAGTGCGACCACACCACTCTTAGACACTCACGCAGCCTGCCGTACCACGACTACGGTTAGGGGGCACTTCAAACGATTTTAGAAAACTTATTGAGCAATTTTACACAAAACAAAATCGGAAAATGCACACACATCGAGGAATTAAGCGTCGCAGCGAGCTAGACGGAGCCTCGAGGTGGCAGCGCCGAGGGTGATCCGACGGCCGATCGCCACCGAAGAGGAAGAGAAAGCGAAACGATCAATCTACGATAGACAAGTGCGTCAGTGAAGATGCCGGGCGTAGAGTGCTACGAAGATATCTAATCTAAGAGTTAAGGAGGAAATCGTTAATCGGTGCTGAATTCGACTAAGTTACACTAAAAGAGCTTTCGCACGTGTGTGCATTTTGAGGGCACGCGTTCTCTCGCCATCCCGAGCGGCGCTGGGCCTAGACTAACACAAATATCCCTCTACGCTGAGTAATACTTTTAATTATTGACGGGCGTAACGCGAGATGGCGAGCGAAGCGTCCCCGAGGCAGAAGTCTTCGCTAACCGTCTAATATAGATTATCTACTTATTCAAACGTCCGTCGTTCGATCCGCGATGGCTAACAGCTATTTGAAAATAGATTTGAAACCGGCTACGCGAATCGCATCGGGGCGAGAGCGACAGACGCGTCGCCAATCGGAAATAAAACAACGCGAATCTACCAAAATTTCGAAACGGGAGGGGTACACCAATTCGATCGCCGCACAAGGCACTTCGCCTCACTACAGAGAAATCACGACACGAAAAAACTTTTACAAAAATCATGAAAAAAATCATCGAAAAACACGCCATAGTCTTATCTACAGTCTATAAACTTCTGTGGTCGGTCGGGATACGAATCTGTATCCGAATTAAGTACATTTCTAAAAGCATACATCTCTCTTACGCCTATGCGATCGCCACGGTGGAGTACCGACCGAAATCTAGAAATAATCTAGATTCCGGGTACAAGTTGGTGACACCCAAAGTCAAACGGTGTGATGTCGGCAATCCCACATACTCCATCAATCCGAATCGAAGACTTAGTTTTCTCTATCGGTATTCTGCTGAAATTCCTACACCAAGTCAAGATCAATAAAGTTACTTCGAAATGACCACAACGACGATCGGACTTAGTTTGCTGATTCGTCAATAAAAATTCTCCCTAATAATATCCGAAAAACGTTCAAGTTTCAAAACTTCCACTCGATCTCAACCAGAATTTTGCAAAGCACCGCACTTTTCCTAACATCGGCTCCCAGGTGTGAGCGGAGCCCTAGGGCCTAAAGCGTACCCCGAGAACAATTGATTATTATAATATCTAAACTACCATCTATTGCACTATCCCGGCGGATTTAAAAATATTTCTTTCATTATAGTAGATACTACGAGACTAAAATATAAGAAGATTAACCGCGAACGAGAACCGCTACAGCCAAAAATGGTAACGTTATTCATTTTTGTACTAACTCCAGTCCATACCGCCTCCCAGGGAAATTATACGGTAGCGACTTTAGGAACAAAACCATCCTGAACACATCCCGAACGAATAGTCGATTCTTCAAATAACAATGAAACCTAAAGACGGTCGACCGAATGAGATCTATTAGGAACCGCGAGGACGCCGAAACGCCTACAAGAGGATAAAACTATGCTTCTGTGTGGATTGACCGTGGATGGGAGTATATCCCCAAGTGAGACAACGGAGACTCGCCAATCCCCACAGAGGCAAAGTGCTCTTGCCAAATAACATCTCACTGGGCCCTGATCGACAACGCAAAACAATGCCATCACATTGAAATCCATAGCAACAATATCCAAATAGAAAAATACTAGGGAGTTTGGGTAATTCACTCTAGCTACACAGGTACAATATTCCAAGAAATGACAATCCACTTACATCTTACGTGATCGGTTTGAGGCGACAGTGAGGCCAGAGATATGCTGAGCAATGAGTCAAGGCGCTGAACTAGGTGGTCTTTCGTACAATGTGTATGTTTCTGTTCAGTTCTGACCATGTCACCCCAAAACCTATTAATCTTATCATACGAGTTGTACGGACAAAATTCTCGCCAAAAGTGACAATTCGCCATAACCACTCTAAAGTCCTTAAACTGACAACTAGCTAAGTTTTGGATATATTTTGCTTACGCGAGTCGAGGCGTTTTGAATCTCCCCAAGAACCACACGAGTCGGTAACTTTGTGAGTGGGAATTAAAACGTGGCAGATTCAAAACGCCCAACGCGCCCGAATACTATATATTTTGCTTAAAATTACTAATTTTGGATAATGTTGCTTTATTAATCTAAGTCGTCGACGAGTCGTGTCACGTCCAGAGGCGACGGGCGGCCATTTTGAATCCAAACGACACTAAAAGCCGTGTTCGATATCTAAAAGTGGAACTGTCAATCGTGATTTCAAAATGGCCGCCGGACCACGCGGGTGTCCGCCATCTTGTCTCAGCAAGATCGTTGCCTGTCATTTCACTAGGGGGAGGCGCGTCTCAGTTTCTTACACACTTTACACGACCCAAGCGATTGCGAGAGAAACAAAGATGGCTAGTCTAAATCTCGCCTGGGCCTCTCCGCCACAATTCATTGACTATACTCTATTTGCAAGTACCCTCGAAGGCAATATCCAATCGACTGACTTTAAATCAACGTTCGTCAAGACAAAAGATAGAGATAGAGAGTTAACGACTGTTCAAACATTTTTACAATTAATATGTCTCTACATCAAATGTCTATAGAATAAGCTGAAGGCTCATAGCCCACCCGCTCTGTTCGTTACTGTCTGACATTGTCTTGTATATTGATCGAGGGTACTAGAAATGGAGAGTACTCTCCTATCGGACCTACGCCACCCCCTCCGCCCTTACCCGCCGAGTTAACACCAGCGGAAGGGCACCGCGCGAGGCCGATCCGCGCCCTCCTTCACTAGCGGCTTATGAAACTCGCGACCCGGACGCGAGTGGATGGTCGCCCAGCAGTGCTCGCAGTAGTACTGCAAATGTTAAAAAATATGTATTTATTTTTTCTATTCTTCTAATTAGTTAATAAGTTAGTATGTTGAAAGCCAAATTTTATATAAGAAAGGATTTGCAACAAGCCGAAACGATATTATCCGGCTCCACGTTGAAAGATACAGGCTGTCTCTGCCCCACAAAATTTTATTTTATTTAAATCAGTCTCAAAGTGCCTACCTGTAGGCAAGTGACGTTGGCGCAGAAGAAGGGCGCAAACTTCGACCCGCATCGTGCGCCGGCGCATTCGTCGCACATCTGGTCGTCCAGCACGTACGGCTTCACCTGAAGATTATGATCAAATGTTGTAAATAGAAGAATCATGTTAGAAAATTAGTTAAAGTTTAAAAAACTGGCATTGTTATTAATGACGAGACCACATTCAACTAACCTCGACCCGCTTGTCAATGTCGCCGTGTTGCAACTGCACGAAGCGCGCAGAGATGGCCGCTATGTACGACTGCTGGTTCGAGAACGCCACTCGCCCGGCGCCCTGGAACCAGCACAAATTATCATTAGTCATTCAATTGGAGCATTCATGAGACAAGTTGTGATTGAATTAGCATGATATTTAACATTTTATATTAACATAAATAATTAAAAATATAATTCATATGAGAATAGTGAATCCACAACGGTGCGTCGACATAAGTGGAAACACAGGGTCCAGTGTTAAACAGCGTCCGGTATTCGAAATTGGATGTATGGCTCAGTGCTACACACCTTCGGATACTTGAGTTCGGGGTCCGTGTCGATGCCAGCATAACACACGCCACCGTACAAGCGGTCCATAATCATCGCCAACTCCACTAAAATTCACAGAAAACAAAACAATTATATACTGTGAGTTATTACAATATTTCAAGTCGAGCGTCAAGCGTTCTGGTCTCAACTCACCAGCCTTCAATGGGCGCGGAACACCTCCCACGAACACCGTCTTCCGCGGGTCCAGAGGCATGCTGGCGTCGAGGACGAAGTCGGCGTCCGCCAACCGCCACGGCCGGATCTGTACCGGTTTGTCGCGGATCGTCGGCGACGAGACGCACAGGTATAGCTTGTCGTCATCCGTGATGCACGCCTCCATCAGAGCGGCCACCGAGCTCTCGTCCTGGAGCAGTGGAAGTTAAGATAAGACAAAACCGTTGGGATATATATTGCTCGTTTATTTGACTGCCCAAAATGTTAAATCGCAAAACATCAAATTAACGCTAGGTATATAATATATAAATATATTTAGGTGCTCTCGATGGATTGGAGCATCATTTAGAAAAAAAATATTTTGTAGAACTTTAAAAATAGTTATAATTAATGTATTTTAATTTGCATTCAGACAGTACTATTTGTATTATCAACATTTTAGCAAAGAATTAAATTTGACATGACACAGTAAAAATACAACAAGCGTGAACTTTGCGTTCTATTTTTCCTCTCTTTTGTCTCATTTGAGACATCATGAAACAGCTAAGTATCCCCGTCCTAGTGATTAAAATTATTTGGTATTAATTTTCACCTGGAACAGAAGGAACGCGTATCCCTTCGGTGGAAAGTAGCTCTTGCTCTCCGCCTTGTGGGGCCAATCCACGACGAGCGGCCCGAAACGCCTGAACGAAGAAGTGATCTCGTCTGAAACAAGTACGAAAACGATTTCAAAATGGACTTATTAATTAATCGTACTGTCTCTAAAATTAATATGCCTTTGCGTGTGGCAATTCTACCTACAGTGACTATTTTTATATTAATTTTTGAATTTCGATTAAAATTAATTCCTAGTTCCTTCTACAAACAGGAGAAACTGCTTGCACTGTGTATCTCACCTATTCGTGTTATAATTTTCAGATGCAATATCTATAGGCAGATAGGCGTATATAAGCCCACGCTTTTCGCTTCGCCGCGCCGCATTCGAGAATCCACGAATGACAAATTGTATAATAGCAAGCATCGGTTATGCAAACACTAGGCTTTGTTTCTAGGTCACGCAGCCAACTAATCTGCTAGATCTAAAGAGATTACAATGGGCCGACCTACATACTCAAGGTGTTAGCTGTCGCTCTACAAAAATAGCGCATTTACGTAAGCGAGTGCAGTTCCGAACCGAGAGAGGGGCCCTAAGGGTTCTAGGGCGAAGCCCCAAACGGGCAAAGGCAACAAAGTATCCGCGTGGTCTACTTTAAGGTTTTAAAGACTGTTATTAAGCAAACGAGGTCTTTTAATAATAAAAGTACAATCAATACAAATAGAATTGATGAGAGATGAGATACAAGAAAAATCTTTTATTAATATAAAATAATTAATCACAAGGTGACTGTAGACCCTGGAGGAATTCCCTAAATTTCGCCTTCGTAATCAGAACCCTATTTTTGTCACAACCCATCAAGGTGTAAAGTTCTTAACAATATAAGTAATTGAAGCACTATGTAGCTCCTATGAATCGCAAAGTTCCCTGGACTGTTTCTCAATCCCATCATCAAACCTAATCCAAACTTATTATGAAGTACTAAATAAAAAAACTTAACGCACTATTTATTCATCCGATTTTAATAGTGCCCCTTGATTTCTCTGGTTTGTGATCATCATACCCCGATTTCTTTATAATAAGACCAACTTAAAAAAAAACCTCAAGCTCGGTTCGTGGACGATGAATTTATACTCTAAGTAACATAAAAAACTTATCTACGAATAGAGTAAAAAAGGGTTATTGGAAACGGCCGTTACTTGTTAGCTAGATGCCACCGAGGCCCAAGCTGTCAATTTATCGGCAGTGTGTCATGCAGAGACGAATAACACGATCAGCTGGTAATTGGTGTTATCTATTATTGATATGACCTCTCAAACTGTGGGATACTTCTAGTTCCGATAGGCGTATTTTGAACGACACTAGACAATAGCTTATCAAGTACGGAAGATAAAAATAATAATTTTAGTTATTAGCTTTAGCACCTATGCACTCGACTACACTATTGCCTTCTTTCTTTCTTTCTTCTTAAGGACGCGTTGCAATTACGAATATTTACACTATACCTTATATATTTATGCATCTTTATCTGATATAATTTATTAATATTGAGCAAAAACGGAAAAGCGCGTTTTTTGTATGAAAGTTCCTCTTTAATATTAATATTTCTCTTGGTTTTTTTTTTCGCGAAATATCAACTCTGACTGTTGTTGATATACACGCTTAACAGTGAAGGCTGACAAGAAAATGGTAATAGAAATATATCACTAAGAATAATACTAAACCGTAAAAACCCAAATACGAGCGAGAACATTTATTATTAAAAATATACATTATTTAATACCGTGATTTTTCTTCAAAACATCGATAAAAAAAATTTATACTGTCACTCCTTTTCATTATTCGAAGAAGAAACTATGAAGTAAAAGTGATCTTATTGCTAAATAGTGATTTCTTCCAAGCACCATTCCCTTCGTTTACGTTTTGCGGAGAACTACAAGCATCATTAGACATGTATAAGCTAAGTAATTAAAACAACTTACCTTCATCGATATCCGGAGGCAAGCCGCCGACGAACACTTTTCTACTGAATCTCTCACCGTGCTCAGAGCCAGCAGACACGGGCGAAGACCGAGCCGGCGACCCCAGTGCGCTCACGCACATCGAAAGACCTGCAAGATCAACGCATATTGTATATAAGCTACTAAGTGGACAAGGAAAGAAATCGATGGGTCTGTATGGATTTGAAGAAGCCAAGACATTCACCACGAAAGCTTTATCGTCAACTTATTCTCAATTTGAGTAAAAATATTTTTTCAAAGTTTAAAACTAAAGAAAAATAGATAACAATGGTTGGAGTGCCCTCACCTGCAGCACTGAGCCTGTTGACCACGTCCTGTGTCTGATCATTGGGTCCAGGCGGGGAACCGGCGCTCGCAGCGCTGGCAACACTCGCCTCCTCCACGCCGGGGAAAAACGGCGACTTGCCTGCAACATTGATAAAATTATTGTTATGATACATAAAGTCACACAAGCTAGTTATGCGGCCAGACATGCAACCTCAGCATAGTATCTTTCCTAAGGACTGATACGAGAGTTCGGAGAACATGTTATCGGCCGGATGCCTCCTGGCCGGTGTTCTAGCTTCTAATTTTAATATACTTTAGTCTTAAGCAGATCATTCATGTGAATACACGCCTAATAATGAATCCTTTTTTTACTTTTTAATAATGCGTTTGTGCGCTCCCGCCTTTTGTCTAGCTTGAGGTTCATCCGATGAAAGGTGAAATACGCCAGCCATAAACTAGATGCCCTGTCGACCTTTTGGCTTTGGATATTCGAAAATCTACAGACTGTATTTGGTATTAATAGTATGACTATATCATTTTTATGTAATGACTCTCCGTCCTTAAACCCGTCACAAGCTTTATCCCTTCTCTTAATTGCACCTGATTTCATAACAGATTATCTAACTCTTAGCTACGGGTGTAATAGACAAACATAACTCTGGCACAAATCCAAAATGTCGTTGACTGGACATTTGGGTAGTGAATCACGGATGTTTTGGGTCTAGCTAGACTTATTTCCTCTAGGCGTGATCTATTCCGACTTAATAATAAAGCTTTTAAAACGGTAGTTACCGTCTGTGGTTTATGCGAGAAGTGCACACTTAAAACGGGTTAAAACGCCAAATATATTACATTATATACAGCTCTTTTTAACTAAGTTGTGCACTTTTATAATGCGTGAACAATGTCAAAACTAGTAAGACGACTGGACTTGTATTAAATTTTTAATAAAATGTATAATGTCTGTGTATGCATATGCAATATTTTATTATACCAGATAAATGAAGGTGCTTTTATATTGAAAATGAAAGTTACCAGCGCTAAATTACTTCCTAACCATATCAAAAATGCACAACAGTAATATTACATTTTAACTGCTACCACTACCAGAATGCAACTTTTTTTTTGATAATCTATGTCACCCGTGAAATATTCCGGTCCATTTGGCACATTGTTTCATAAACGTTTGTTCTCAGCATTTAGCGATAGAGTGGAAATTTTTTTTTCATATAAGTTTTCTTTTAAGTTAATACAAATACTGTCTGCAGTTTACATGAGAAGTACACGTTTAAATAAAACACTAAGAGTTTGGAAAGCGAAATATATTAGTTAAACTTAAAAAAATTATCATCCTGACCACGGCTGCTGCAAAGCATGCGAAACGTCGGGCCGTAGTTATAATATTTTTTTAATAAGTTTAACTAATATATTTAGCGTTAAACGGCTGAAGTGTTATAATGAAAGTGAATAAAATGTAAGTTCCAAATTGAAGCACGAAATTATGAACATTGCTTCACAAACGGCTTGACTACTTTTGATAAAATTTGGTCTGAAAATAGTGGAATAATTATCGGTACTAATTATATACAGAAAGCCGTTCGGGTCCTTTTTTATTTAACGGTTTAATGTCTCGGTGTATAAAACGCGGAGCTTATCTAGTAAATTTTAGATGTAATTTTAAAACTCCAAGTTCAAACAACTATAGAATCCTGACCTCAAAGTTGAATGACCGAAGGGTTCAACAAAGTTTAGCTAAAAAGAATTGTTCTGTCGTTGTGTATTTTTTAAAAAGCTTTATTAATATGATCACAGTGACATTAGGTGTCGGCCAATTTTAGGAGGAGAAGACAAGTAGAATAATCGTGTTTAGCGTTCCCTTTACACTATATTGCATTTCATGCGCAATCAATGCGAGTATTATTGCCGACAAATCACAAAATTTTATCAAAATTTGTCCATCCATCACAAACTTTTGTATGATTAATGGACATTTCGCGACCATCTAGATTTTGAGACATTAAGGTCAATGACCTATTTCAAGGGACAATCACCTCAAAATAAAATCTAAACAAAACGTTTAAACTCCATGGTTAAGTGGTTATTGTATTAAATTTTCTGTAATAGGAGTTCTTGACATATAAAAAATATCGATTCTTAAGTCTTTTGATTTTATCTATTTTTTATATCTAAAATTATTATCAAAAGTTTACAACTTAAATGAATACATTTTAAAGTTTTTCGTTGCCAGGCAACGTGTAAATATTCAACCCGTTTTATATCGTTGAAAATCGATATATTACTATTTAGTCAAAGTAAAGATATTTTAATAGTAACATATAATTCCTACCCACAAGATTTTGAGTCTCAAAACATGTGACGACATGTAGGAAAACATGTTGAAAATTTGGGAAACAAAAAACGACGCTAAATTTCCCAAAGCAATATCTTATGAAATAATACCTCAGACTAAATTTTAATCGTGTTACTTTTTGCTCCAAAATGGCACCACACATGAAAACTCATTTTAATTGGAAAAACTAGTCACAAAAAATATCAAAGGTACTCACTCTTTCTATACGGGAACCTCGGTCCGCGAATAAACGGAGTAATTAGAGGGATCGTGTGCACGGACATAGTAATTTCAAAAAATTAATTAAAATTTGCTGAAAAACACACGAAAAAACGTGACAGACTCGAACACTCGTCGCTGACTAGACGCGAAATAAAAAAATGACACGCGCGTTCTGTTTTAAAAAAAAAAACCTCCTAGTGGCCAGTATCAAAAAAAAACACACTGTAAAATTACAGATAAGTAAATTTATTTAACGAAATAATAACCGTTTAAAAAAATAACACAATTTACCGAAAAATAACAGCGTTTGCTCGCAGCGTATAACCAATACTAAATAAATCTTTTACAAAAATAGCTATGACTTATTTAGCTCTTTTGAGCGGGAAGAAGAAATGTGTTGTTCTCTTAATTACTATCAAAGCGGTTTATTAGTATGAAAAATATTATTTTCTTTAATATTTAAACAACATATTTATCTGTGGTATAATTTTCTGATCGAATATAATATATAAGTATTATTTCTTTGCTCTACGCGAAGCTATTTATCACATTTTAAAATGCAAAATTTCTCGCCCTAATAACTGAATCAACTACTAAGTATATTATCATAAAATGCGAGTAACCCCGCAGGTCGAAACTACTTATACACGAAAATTATTGTATACAACGCCCTCTCTAGAGCGCTACAAAAAACTAGGTCAATCCCAAATTAAAAACGGAAAATGCATGTTGACATTATTATGTCAGCCTATGTATGAAGTGATGAAAAAGAACTCTGTTGTAAAGCAATAGAGATTCAAATTCCTTAGCAAACGTGTAAAAAGTTAATGCCACTGCGGAGTTTCGTAATAAAGTGTGATGACAAGGTAGGATGACCATTTTGAATTTTTGGATATAACTATACAATTATACATATACAACTAATATATTCTTACCGTACTTTACATATATAAGTCCGCCCTCATAGCTCAATGCTTAAATTGATTGAGATCGTTGCCTAACAATATTCGAAAGTTCCTGGATTCGAAATCCGAGCAAATGATAAATTATTTCGGTCGGACAGGGCGCAGAAGAATAAATCTTTTTGTCTTAACCGCTTACAACAAAATTTATGAGTGAAACGGCCACGATATGCATTCGACCTATGCCAGTGAGAAACACTATAATATACAAAGACAATCATTTTATTATATGTATATAAGGCTGAAGAGTTTGTTTGTTTGTTTGAACGCGCTAGTCTTAGGATATCTACTGGTTCGAAACAGCGAATGTGGAAAAAACAAGAAATAATATTTACCCCTTTCTGTTGCTTACGCTGCGAAAACGGTTCAAGATATCTAAAAACATATGTATAAAAGAAAGATTCTTCTTTAAATGTAAAATCTTTCATCTACTATCTAAAAAATAGACAGTAGATCTTTTAAGATTAAATTGCAAAAACTACGGCACGCGGACGACGTCGCTTTCATTTTTAATAGTGAAGAGGAGGTTTGCAAAAACAAATTTTGATGCCCAGAATGCAAGTCGCTGACACGGCTATTGGTTCAATAAAATTCAAAGTGTGTGCGTGAATATGATAATAATATTACTTATTATCATATTCACGCACACATTCCGTGACTCTGCGGAATCCATTGTAATTGTTATAGCCATTTAGATTAGACCTACTAAACGTGCAACACTTTATCAGACCGCTGTCAATTTCCCTTTAATCCGCCCTAAATCTGTCTAGATGCAATGTAGACGTCTACACGGTCCCAAAGACCTTTTAATATAGGAGCAAAGGATTTTGCTGTCCAATACTGTCGAAGTAAGAAATAAATTCTGTAGGATATAACAGACGCATTTTTGGGTCCGCTCCACCGATCGATTTTTGCTTATATTTAAGTATTCCAATAGGAACTTTCAAGAATTCGAACCGAAACCTTCTCGCGTTAAAAACTATAATACGAAACAAGCTTTCAGCTGTGGAGACGATCAATGAGTCATGGGTTTGATTACCATCGGGACCAAATTTTGTACTTCATCTGGAAAATCTGGATATAAATGTGTGGTAGGACTATCGAAATTTTGTTCACCATCATTGGAAAAGCTACATTTACTTAGGTACCTTTGCGTCTCGGTTGCGGTCTGGATCGATCCTACTGCTTGAATAAAAAAAAAACCATATGGTTATCAAACCAAATCTTTAGTCACTTATTCATATGTATGTACCTACACATCAGTTCAGAATTAAAAACTCTTAAATTTACATTTATTACCAGTTGCCGAGTTAAGGGCGTAGAACGAACAAGAACTCCTTTTGAGACACTCCTTTTGTCGTCAAGAAACTTACTTGTTAGAGAGAGTAAAATATGTAACTTATAATAATAATATTTAAATAAAAATATTTCCTTATAATTTAACTTAAATAATACACATTAAAGTACAATATTTGTATATATTCAACGACAACTACCTATGACGCCAAAATATACAGTCACTGGAGTGTTATATAGAATTTACATCTTTTAATGGTAGAGGAGGACAGGCAAGCATCGGGTCCACTTGACACGTAGGTGAAATAC